GCTGGAGCAGTCGCTCTTTGGGCCGCCGGTCCTGCCCCGATTCTCCACGCCGCCTGCCCCATCGGTCCCGGGGCCCTTCCTGCCCTACATGCAGCCCCCCAACTATGCTTTACCTCAGGCCGCCGTGCAGAACCGCCTCCGGCCATTCCTGCCCGGGCAGAGCCTCCCCGTCTCCAACGCCGTCTGGAAGAAAAGCCAAGGTGAGTCCCCTTCCGGGCTTCGTCCCCCGCCATCCTCAGCTCCCTTGGATTGGGACACCAGGGGAACACCCAGCCCCCCCCCATGTCCAGGTCGTGCTGTCTTTATTGATAAGCGGATAGCATAAAAGTTGAAACGTTCATGTCCAAAAAAGGCCTGTAAAATGCCTTTTAAAAGGAACTTCTAAAAGCAACTCCCAAATCTTCCTTGATCCGCTGATAACTTTGTTCCTCCTGGTTACGTTACTTTTGAAGCGGGACCGGGTTGCGCTCTTGTTCCCGAAAAAGAAGGGTATGAAGGTGCCTGTGGCCCAGGGTTTCCACACTCGGGGGGGCTTTCCTTTTCCCTTCTCCCCCCCTTCTATTCTCTGGATCGGTGAATGTCTGCCTGTCTCCCCACCACTCCAACAGGGCACTCCTCCAACAGCCGCATCGTGTGGGAGCACACGCGGGGGCGCTACAACTGCCTCCAGTGCCCTTACTCCACGGCCTCGCGGGAAGAGATGACCCAGCACACAGAAGACCATCGCAAAAACCCCTCCCCTCCCGGCCGGCTGGACGGCGAAATGGGTGAGTGCCCCATGGTGGGGGGCGAGGTGGGATCTGTCGTTTTGGTGCCCCCTCGGCAGCGAAAAGGAGGATCTTTGCCGGGGGGGGGAATTGCCATCGCCCTGGCCCTTGTCCGTTTAGTTTTGCACCCTGTGCTTGAGCAGAGGGGGTCCCCCTCATCCCTCTGGTCGCTCTCCACTCACACGCAGGAGGGCGGACTGCTCACAGGCTTCTCTCTCTCTCTCTGGGCCTCTTAGCTATCCTAATATTTTTTAAAGGTCAAAAGGAATACCAGGCCTTTAAATACAGTCAGACTCCCAAATCGGCAAGGGATCAATTCTCAGCTCCCTGCGGATGCTGGGAAATGCGGATTATAGCAAATGCCATCCATAGCCTGGTCTCCCAGCTCCCTCTAGTGGCTGTTTCACTTATCCATGAAATATGTCTGGCCACAATGTTTGCTATTAAAACAACATTCACTATCATCCACGTTTTTCAGCATTTGCAGAGCGGCTTGGGGTCAACCCCTCATGGATATTGGGGGGGGGGCGGCTGTAAGAGAAAGGCTTTGCTTTGTGGTTCAAAGGTCTCTCCCCCCCCAACCCCCCCGGCTGCCATCTGACCTCTCCTGTCTTTTCCCTTCCCCAGAGTTTGGCGTGGCCCTTCCCACGTTCCACCCAAAGCTGACACCAGATGTGGAAAACACTCTTTTCACCCCGCTGTGAGGTTATGCCCTTCTGCTCCTTGAAGAGGTGGAAAGGACGGCAAGGGGAAAGGACGGACTCGGAAATCCAGCATCCACAAAGGTGCAAACACCCCCCTGCAGGCGCCTCTCTCCTTGCGCCTCCATCACACTCTTTAAAAATGCAAGAAGACACATGGGTGCCATTCAGGAGAGAAAGGGAGTAGGAATTTTTTATTATTAATTATTATTGTTGTTATTGATGCTTAATTTAAACTAGAATTATTTCGGTGCACCTTTCCTTTTTTCTTCTTCTGTTTTTCGAAAGTTTGGGTTGACTTTTGCTTTCAGGCAAAACCTATTTTCTGCCCTCCTGGGGTGGGGTGGGGGGAAGGCCATGCTCCGTACAGCGGATGGTCAGGTTTGCTCAGGTCTTTCTTGGCAGGTTTCTGCTGATTTCGGGGGAAGGATAAAATAAATGGGGATTGTACAGAACCCAGGCTCTGGGGTTTTTTAATTTGTTTACTACTCGGTGGTGCTTCTGGGTTCCCTTTTCATCTGCCTGAGTCGACCGTGTAGGATTCAAGAAGGGGAAGGAGCTTTACAAAACCAGCACCAAATTCTAGGGATCGGAACACACTTCGGGAAACAGACCCCCCCCCTCTATCTCGATGTAACGTTCCATCAAGAGATCATCCTCGCATCCATGGCTCGACCATCCAGCTTTAAAGAGACCATCCAGGAGGGACCCCCACCCGCAACGCTGCCACCCCCCAGGAAGGCCACCAAGAAGAATCCCAACTCACAACTTTTCCCAAAAAAAGTGCACTGTTTTAATATAAACAACATAGATAACATTTTTGGTCTCCATCGAACGGTTATTACAAAAATCATAAAAAGTCCTTGTAAACCACTTGGAAAGTTGTCATAAAAAACTGGAAGACGGAAAGCGGGAGAGACGGGCAGCGTCCCTCGACTCCCCCCGTCGGTCGGCTCCAAGCTGGCAGCAAGCAAGGCGGGGACGGCACCCAAAGGCCACGGTGGAAGAGCGCGTTTCCTCCCACGGCCTCCCTTCTGAGACCATGGGGGCGGTTCGGAGCTTCTCCAGGCGTTTGCCGGAAGGGCTGCCGTCCTTTCCAGCCACCCAAGAACAGGCTCGGGGTTCCCCATCCGCGGGCCAGCTGGTCTCGTCGGCTGACGAACAGGGCGTTAGACGTGGGACTTCTCCGGGACAGGGCGGGAGATCCCTTGGCGCCGCTCGCCTGCCCTCGTGGACGGGGGCCTGCCAGTGACCCACTGGAGAGAGACTGAGACACCCCGGCTGGTCACTTTCAGACTGGACGGTTGGCGAGGCCTGGGTGGTGCCGTCGCACTCACAGCTGGGGGGTAATCCTGGGGAGAAGGAGGCGGCGGCAGCATGGGCTTCACAGAGGGCATCCCCTGGGTGTGGCTGGTGTAGCCTCCTCTGGTGAAGGAGGCACAGAGGGCACCGGGCAGTGGAAGGCTGGACGCCCCTCAGGCACATCTTTGGTGGAAGGAGGTTCCTTTAGAGAAAGGGCAAGAGAGCCAACGTGGGCGAGATGTTGGGAGGAGGCCCTGACGGCCTTCGATTCCCCCCCCCCCCCCCGCACACATGCACAGACCCAGATGGAGAGGACAGGAAAGGGAAAGGAACCGAGGAAAAGCAAAAAAGGGGGGGGCAGACCTCTGGGGTGCCATCACGCCCCCCGCTCCTCCAGCAGGCTCTCGGTGCTGGCTGACGTCTCGGAGTCAAGGTTCTCCTCGTCGGAGCCGCGCTGGTCCAGCTCCGGTAGCCGGTAGGTGATGTCTTCCCTGCCAGGGAAGGCCAGGGTTATTTCAAAACGGCTCCTCTCTGCCTCACCCCCTGGAAAGGTCAGCTCCCTCCTGGTGGGTCTTGTGAGCCGCCGCCCCCCTTCCCGGTGGAGTGACCCACGCAGCCGAGGCAGAGGGGGGGCAAGAAGGATCCCCAGGACGGCCGAAGGCCAAAGCTCTCCGCACGCGGGGACTCACTTCTCCTCCTTCAGCGACTGGATGCGCTCCATCAGCAGCGCTTTCTCCCGATGGTCGGCCTCCTCTTCCTCTGCCTCGGGCAGGACGCCCAGTTTGGGCGAGGCGCCCCCGTCCGCCCCAATGCTCAGGGGGATCTTGTTCTGCAAGACGAGGCAGGTCAGTGCAGTGCCCGGTTAGACCCCTTAAGGCCTCACAGGCTTCCCCGGTTTCGTCCCCCTTTGCCCTCGCGTGCAAGGAGCCACGAAGCAGCCTCGGGTTTCGGGGATGGGGGAGAGACAATCTTAACCCCCACATTCCACCCCAAGAATTGAGGAAAGGCAGCAAATTCACGGATCGGGACGCCTGGACCAAGGGCGGCTCCTGAGTAAAGCCCCGTCGGGCAGAGGGTCCCCCCCTTTCAGGGCCTGCTGAGAAGTTAAGCAGAGTTTTGTTTTTTACGTGCTAAACCAAGCAGTAAAGCTAGGAAAAGCCGGTCCGTCTCTACCGAGATTTCTTGAGATTTACCGGCTGAGTCCCCAGGACGTCCTTGCTCGGAGAGGCAAGAGCCACTAACACAGAAGGCTGATTCCAAGCATGTGCCAAGCGAGTACTCCTCCTTTATTTCCCTTTGCACGTGATTTCCACGGATTTCCCTTTGCACGTGCAAAGGGAGCAAGTTTTATTTATTTGCTTTTAAAACAAATAAAACCAACTAAACACATCAACAAAGAAGCCACCACAAGCTAACCAACCCAACCATTAATTTTTAAAAAAAATATCAGGCAGAAATAGAGAAGAGAGAAATATGTCTGGAGTTAGTGAGAAAGAAAGAGGAACCCCCCACGACATACCATTTCCCCCCCGAGAAGGGAAGCATCAGGAAATGCCTGCTCATTGCAAACTAATTACTCCAGCATTGCTGTTAATTTGCTGCTAAGAATTGCGCGCAGCCATGAAGCATGCAGAGGGGTGGAGAGAGGAAGGTGAGGATCCGTTTGGGGGCCGGGGGCGTCCCTTGAGGCCGGGGCTGGGGGGCAGCCAAGGGGGAGGTGGGGAACAGCAATGCTCCGTCATGCACCGCGCGCAAGGGTTGCTTCCACCTACCCGGGCTCCCTCGTGGGGAGAGGAAAACCCCAGTTTTAAAGGCCACAGCTAGAGAAAAGGGGGAAAAAGGCTAAGGAGGCTTTCCAAGAAGGCTGCAGCCCTTTATTCTGATTCCCTTGGGATAAAAGTGAACCTGAACCAAAATTTGAAGAGTCATCAGAAATCCTATGGACACCCATTTAGAGAAGGGCAAACCCCCTACAGTATCCACGGGTTCGGTATCTGCTGATTCACTCATCCATGGTCTAGAAAAATATATTTTCACAATGTATTTGATCAGAAATGGCCAAAAGAGAAGCCAGAGGCCATGTTAAAGATTCTTGTGGTCCAAGAAGGGAGGCAGCCCACCGTCTCCTAAGGCAACTTGTTCCACTTCCTAAGGCCTCTCTCTGGAGGCGAAGGCATGACACTTAAGGTGGGCCCACCATCTGTGTGTGTCCCCCCCCTCCCGTGGTTTCCACCCTCCCTTCTAGTCCTGCCTCACAGCGTAACCGAATCCAGGTTCCGTGCCTGTCCTGCACCAGGGGACGTCAGGTGTCTGAAGACCACTCCTCTTCATCCCCTCCAGCCTCAAGACCATCCCCCCACCCCCATCTCTTCCCTGCTGGCCCTGGGAAGGGGCCTTTCTCAACCACCTTTCCTTGCTCAGCAGCCACATCACTCCAGCAGGCTCAACACAGCGGGCACACGTCGACTCAGCGGCGAAAAGCACTCGTGGCTGAAGCCGAAGAGCATGTCGTCCAGGACTCGGCAAGCTGGGAATCCCCCACGAGCCACCCCCGGGCCCTGACGCTCACCGAGTTCTGCCGAAGCAACGAGAGCCGCCGGACAGCAATGGTTTCGGCGGCCTCCAGCTGGCAAATCTCCTCCATCTTCAACTTGTATTTCCGCATCTGCTCCTTGATGATCATCTCCACACACCTGCGGAAGCGGGCAAAGGGGGGTGTCAAAGAGCTTGCAGAAGACGTGAGGCAGGCAAGCAGGTGGAGGATGCGGCATCGACTCCCGTGAGAGCAGGAGGGTTACGAAGTGCGGGGGCTTCCGAGTGCCACCCTGCTAGTCCTCGCGATGTGTCGTCCAGCGAGAAGCACAGAGGGTGAGGTTGGCCCCGAAGCGCCAACTCACGTGGTGGTTTTGGAGACATCCTTCATGCTGGTGAGGGGATCCGAGTGGTCGGGGCAGCGCAAGAGACATGGGGCGAAGATGATGGCGAGGGCGTTGGGGGACATGCGGTTCACCTCCTCCACCAGGGCGACCCTGCGTTTGGGAGCCAAGCAGAGAGCTTTGGGCAACGGGACAGGCAAGAGGGCAAGGAGACGGAGGGGGGAGGGGGAGGCCGCCTGGCCTGGCTGGCGGCCTCTTTCCGCGGCCCTTCGGACAACCTCTGGGGCTCCCTGGCGTTTCACCCCCTGCTAGGTACACCACCCTTGAGTCGCTTGTCCTCCGAACCCTGACCTGTTCTTCCCAGGGCACCAAAGCTGGCGCCTTCCCGGTGGAAGGTCCTCATTCACTGGGAATGAAGGCCAGGCCCCTCCTTCCGGCACCAGGGACTTGCTCCCCTCCCCAGGTCTATTCAGCCAAAGAGTTCCCACCTCTGCCAAGAAGAGTCTCCCTCCCCCCTGTGGAGAGCCTTTTGGGATCTTATCAACCACCCCCCCCACACACACACACACAATCAATGGGCAGCCCGGGGAGAAGGCACTTGGCTTACTTGACCAGGTGGAAGATCAGCCGCTCCAGCGTGTCGTGGTTCGCTCGCGGGAGCTGCTCGAGGACGCTGTAAATGGCCCCGAGCTGCTCCTGTTTCCCAGGCAGTTCTGCAGAGGGAGAGCAGGAGAAGAGGAGAGCCCCTGGCAGGTCAGAGTCCGGCCAAGGGGCCTCCCCAGAGCCCAGTGCCCAGCCTCTGGCAGTGGCCAACCAGCCAAGGTGGCGAGGAAGGCTGCAAACGAAGCACTGGGGGGGGGAGATTTATGATTTAAATCTAATAAAATTAATCACAGGGTAGCAGTAAACAATAAAAGCCACAGAAGAATTACGATCTAAGGGCAGATGAGAAGGTGAGGAAAATAAAGAGGAAAACTCCTATCTGTTCAGAATGTCTGTCACCTGGACACGTTTCTCTCCGTTGGTGTCTTCCTCGTCCAAAAGCGTAGCAGCTTCTCTCCTGCTCTTGGTCTTGGTCCTGAGTCTCTCTTACAAGCCTTGTTCTTTGGCTGTAACCGCTGTTGCCCCCCTCCCAAGAGAGAGCAGTGGCTCTTTCCTCTTGTCTCCCCCCCCAATGTCTGGAAAGAGAATCACTGGGGGGCAGGATTGTGCTTCCGAGTCCCCCTGACCCCGCAGACACTCACCCACGGCCCGGAGGAAATCGTTGTACTGGGCGAAGGTCATGAGGGGCTCCGGCAGCTCCCGCAGCCACTGCTTGAAGATCCCAGTGATGGTGTGGATGGGGTAGTTCTCCAGGCGCACCGAGTTCGGGTCTGAGAAAGATTGGGGGGGGGGGTAGAAAAGCCAGGAGGTTAAAGCACCCATGGGTTAGCCAAACACAGGCAGCCGAGAGCCCCCCAGGAGCCCCCTCTGGACGGGGCCCCTGACTTCCGCGCCACCCCAGGAGAGGAGAGTCCCAACAGAGGCCTGCAGCGTGAGGCCTTCCGGGAAAGCAAGCGGCTCTGCCCCTACCCGCTTGCAAAGACTGCTTCAGCTCCTTCATCCGGTTGGCGGCCCCTGACTTCCGGTAGATCCCCTCCGTGTAGAGGCCGTGCATTTCCACGTGCTCCAGGAGCTTCTCCATGACCAGGGGGACAGAGTTCTTCTCGCCAGTGAGAGCGCTCACGCAGACCCCAAAGTGGCGGGGCTCCGGGTCCTGGTCGCCCTGAGAGCCGAGAGAGAGGGAGGAGACCCCAGTGGGCCGAGGGGTCTCAGAACCAGGGAGTAGCCTCCAGGCTCACCCAACCGGGGCCGGCGCCCCCACAGTGGGGGAAACCTTTAGCTGCTCCCCTCTGCCCCTTAAGCTCTGAACGTCGGTCTCCTGGCATAAACATCCTGCCTTTTGGGCGTAACCCCCCCCCAGTGTAAACAGCTGCTTACCTTCTTCACGAGGCAGGAGGTGCAGCTGCTTTGGATCCGGGACAGGCACTTTTTATGGCAAGTCAGCTTACAGACTGGGGGTGGGGGGTCAGGCCGCAGGGAGAAAAGCAGAAGGGGGGGCTTGTTACAAAATATGGCGGGCGCCACAGGCACAGCACGGCTCCGAGCCCATCCCCTCCCCCACGCGCCTTCCACGCTCGGTTCTTTGGGAGACGGAGGGCGGCATCCGTATGATGCCTTTCCCCCCATGCACAGGCAAAAAGGAAATCTTGCATTCCAGAAACAGGCCATGCCTAGGTTGGGGGGTGGGGTGAGGCTTATGCCAAGCGATGGGCAGCCTCTATCTGAACACTGAGTGGACATTTCCAGCCCCATGGAACCCGGGCGAAGCACAGGGAGTGGGCTCTGGGATGGGGCCGCTGGCCCAAGGCCACCCAGGCTTTTTTTTTCTCCCAGGAGGCCCAGAGGAGGAATCGAACACCAAACCTCACTTGCTGAGGTCATGCTTCAATAGGGCTCTGTAGCCCCAAGCCAGGCCAAGGGGGGGACTTGGGAGAGGACGGTGGGGCTCCCCCAGGAGAGGGGCTTACTCATCCAGGCCTGGAGAGCCCCCTCCCCTCCCCTCCTGGCCCTCCCCACTTACTGCTGCAGAGGCAGGCCTTCTCCATGGTCCAGATGTAGGAGGAGCACTGCTCGCACGACTGCAGGATGTTCACTTGATAGCTGACGAAGACATGTCCGTTCCGCTCCTCCATCTGCAAAGGGGACGGGCAGCACATGTCACTTGGGGCCCCCAAATGGCTCTTTCCAAAAACCTCTCGGAAAGTGACTTAAAAGGAGGCAGCAGGAGCGAAATCGTGGAGGTGGCTGGTGGCGCCCAGCCTTGCCGCACAGCCATAGCCTCCTCTTGCCCCATAGCAGAAGCATAATAATTTGCCAAGGAGGACTATTTCGCTCCTGGGAGTCAGAGGAGAAGACAGACAAGAGCATGCCTCTGGCCACAGGGACCCCGGCAGTCCAGCTTCGACCCCACCCCCCCAACCCCGAGTCTGCAGCTTCCCTCTCCTAGCAAGAGCACCCAGCGGCTGCCCCCTCCCTCCTTCCCTCAGGACCGTCTCAGACAGGCCGAGCCCCCCTGGCTCTGCCACGGTGCTGGGTGGACGGGGCCTGCCACGGACGGGGAGCCCCCCCTCCCGCAAGGTCACTCACCACCCGCTCCTGCTTCCTCTTCTTCTTCTGAGCCTTGCTGGGCTGTTGGGGGGCAAGAAGGAAAGACGGGGAACCCGTTCAGTTCTTCTCTCTCTCCCACCGAGTTATTAAAAAAAACCCAGTTTGGGAGACAGTCTCCGGGGGTGGACAAATAAGAGTCACCTGGGGGGGGAGGAGGAGGAGGCGCTAAAAGCCACCAGTCCTTCTTGCCCACATCCAATCGTGGGTGGAAAGACTCCTTCCTCCCCATCATCACAAAGAGCAAAGGCTGAGGAGCTCCCGGCCAGTCCCAAGAGAGAAATCCAGGGACCTGGACGTGCAGGCTGTCCCAGACGGGGCGACGCTCCTCCCCCCTTCCTGCCAGAACCGACCTGGCGTTGGTTCTGAGATGCAGCCCAAAAGCCTAGTTTTCCAAACAAAAACCCGGGGGGAGGGAAAACGCCTCCAAGCGATTCCCCCGAAACGAATCCCCATCCAGCCACGCAAGGAAAGCCAGCGGCAGACCTTTGGCTGCTCCGGTCCCTCCTTCCGAGCGTAGCTGCGCGCAAACTCGTCCAGAAGGGACTGGAAAAGGTTCAGGACCAGCTTCACGTCCTTCTCTTCTTTCTGCTTCGCCATGTTGACCACAAGGAGCTGGTAGTTCTCCATCAAGTCCTGGTACCCGACGTGGATCTGGCCGTTCTACGGGAGGGGGAACGGGAAGCGGTTGGGAGGCTGAATGCACCTCCCGCACAGGCCAAGGATAAACACATTACACCGGACAAACCAGCTGCCCCCATTGGGGTGAAGCCGGTCAGGTGGGGCATCCCTGTGTGAGGAGGCGAGAGGGGTGGAAAGGGCAGGAGGGGAGGGTCTCCCAAGACTCTGCGGGCCTCCCGTTTCCCACCCACTAGGTCTCCTCCCTGGTCCGTAAAGATTTCAGGCAACGTTTTTGCTCCTTTTTAATCACGACTTGGCTGGCCCGGTTGTTCAACGCATCGCTTTGATGGTCAACAGGCATCTCCCGCTCCTCGATTTTACTCCCAAAGACCCCTCGAAATTCCCCTCGCATCCAGGGGCTCTATGGGTTCTTTCCCGTTGCAAGGAGTTCCACAAGATCGCCTGCTCCAGCCCAGCACCCCACTGAACAAGGCCGCACTTACTGGGACGGAGTACATGGTCTTGATGTTCCCGCGGAACTTCTCGGTGGCTTCAAAAAACAAGCACTCAATGGCCGATTTCTGGGAATGAAGATCATTGATCTGGAACGACAACGACAGGGATCGCAAACCCGCTCAAGAAGACGCAATCCCTCTTTATAAAGGAAAAGCCCGCCCGCCTTGTTCTCCTCTCTTCAAATTGCACTAATAATCCTGCCGTCAAAGTCAATCAGGGGCTGCAGGGTTTGTGGAACATTAGACCTTCAAAGGTTTCATCCTCTAAATTTACACTGACTTCCAATGACCGGAAGCGGATAGCTTCTGAGAGGCCACCGGTTCCTTTAACACAACAGCGTCTGCTTACGCTCTCCCCCCACCCCACCCCCATTTGTCTTTTGGGTGCACGGATGGCAAGCAGTCTGTTCGTTTTAATTAGACTCTGTTCTCACCCAGATTGAGACGATGGCCAAGCCCGCCCCCCGCCCCCCGTCACTTTGCCATCTCACCTTGTTGAGGAGGAATTCATCCAGGAATTTCAGCTCGTTGGCGTTGGTGATCTCCCTCAGGAACGGCACCCGCCACTTCTTGGGCGCCGTCTTGGCTTTGCTGATTTTCAGGGTGCGGCTTCTCTTGGCTTTGCCGGCCTGGCGTTCCTCTGCCGGGAGGCGACCGGAGGGCCCCAGAGGAGCTGGGGAGAAACATGACCGGGGTGAGCCGCAGCCTCACGCTCCTGTGCCCGGCCCTCAGCAACCCTGCTCAGGGGCAGGGGAGCCCTTTCCGGTGGAGAGGCCATATCCTCCCTCGAGGAGAGAGGGCAGGGGCCAAGCGAGGCTGGGCCACGCCATCATTTACCGGCCACCTCCTTTCCCCCCTCCCCCCATCAAGCAATTATAATAAATGAAGAATGATCCTGTGTCATCAAATCAGTTCGGACTTATGGCGATCCGTTTCAACGTTTTCCAGGTAGAGTGTGCAGGAGGAACCTGATATCCGTGACAGATCAGTTCCAAGCCCCTCCGCAGATGTGGAAAGCCGTGGATAAAATGAATCAGCAGATGCTGATTCCGCGGGTAAGGGGCCTGACTGTACACAAGCAGAACATTATGTCCTGCGAGCTGCCAAAGACCCAAGGCCTCTTTCGGGCTTAAAGCCTTGCAAAAAACAACAACACAACCCCTCCAAAAAACAAACAAACAAACAAACAAACAAACAGCGGGCAGACTTCCCTCCAGCTGGCCACATGGCTGGCCTCACCTTCGAACAATCTTTCCGCCCCCCCGGCCTCCATGGGGAGCACACAGGAGAACAGCAGGAAGTTCTCTCCGTCTTCTGGTGCCTCCGCGCTCTCCTTGGCGTACTTCTTCTCAGGCTTCCTCCCCAGGAATCTCCTCAAGGGGCTCCTGAAGGCTGATCTGAGGGGCCGCAGCAAAGCGTCAGGGCCAAAAGCAAGCAGGGTGTGCATGTGGTCCACCGAAGGACCCAGGAGCGCAAAATGGCTTCCCAGAGGCACCAAACCTGCCCCCCTCCGCCAGGTATCAGAAGACAAGGCACAAGGAAAACCAAGCAGCCACCCATGAGCTCAGATTCCCACGAGAGCAGCCGGAGGGTGGCTGGCCCAAGTGCTCCGGAGGGGGCCAAAGAGATTTCAAAGAGATTGAGAAATAAAACCAGGGGCCGGCCACATGGTGAATCCTGCCCGCCATCCCCTCCCTTTGGCACCCAAGGGGCTTGGCTGGCAGGCAGGCCCCCTGACTCACTTGGCGTCGCCCTGCTGGCCGGGGGCCGTGGCGGGTCCGGCAGCATCGAGGGTGGAGGTGGGCTCCCCGGCCTTCCTTGGCGTGAGTGGCTTCTGGCTGCTCTGGTCGTCCTCCGCGAGGCCCAGAGATGGCTGCGGGAGAGGAAGGAGAGCAAACCTCGTCAACCCAAAAGGGAGGGAGAAAGGATTTTTAAAACATTGATGGAGCCGTGCAGAGGACGTCGGGAGGTTGAACAGCTTTATCGTGGCCTTCCAAGAACCCATCGCTTCCCTCGGCTCTGCTTCACAAAGCGACGGCTTTGGCCGGCGTTTCTGTTTTATGTTTTAAAATTCCGCTGTTTGCTGCCCTAGCCGTTATTCTAAAAGAAAGACAGCTGAGGAAACACAGGTTAGGTGTCACCCTTGGGGCGGATCCCCTACCTGGCTCAAGGAGGTGGAAAGGGCGACTTTGGAGAGGTCGTCCAGGGAAGACGTGGCCGGATTCTTTCGGCTGGGGAAGGGGGAAAAAAGGCAGTTGAAAGCAAAACCCCAGCAGAGAAGCCAGGAGTCCCGTCCCGTCCCAATTCCTGGCCTCCTCCTCCTCCCCCAATTGGTCCCCGGTGGCAGGAGCTGCCCCCCCCAGCAGCCCACCTGAGCTCTGGGGAGGGCGACGGGGCTGCCGGGCAGCTCCTCTCGTCCAAAGAGAGGCTGTGGGCGTGGCTCTGCCCGCCGGCCAAGTGGCGCTTCCCCTGCCACTGCTCCTTCTTGTCCCGCAGCTTGCCCGGGTCATCGTGGTAGCGCTGGATGTGGAAGGGGGCTGGGCCGTGGTCCTCCTTCTGGGCCCATTGCTTCCGCTTCTCCGGCGGGCTCCGGAAACTCAGGTGGTTGGGGAGGGCCACCGCCGAGGGCCTCTCGGGGCAGGTGAAGCTCTGGCTGCTGCGGATCCTGGGGCTCCCCGCCCGGCCCAGGCCGTTCGCCCCCTCCGGAGCTGGCTCTCCTTCCTGTGTCCGCCCCGGAGTTGGGCTGGAGAGCTTGGCAGCAGCATCACCACCACCACCCCCACCGTCTGGAGGGAGGAGCGGCTCCCCGCCAGACGGCCGCCCGTTCCCTTCCTGGGTGCCCTCGGGAGCCTGCTTGGAGGCCGCCACCCCGTCCTCCTCCACGGATCGCTCCGGCTCCGGGCTCGGCTCTTCCTCTTCCTCCTCCTGGCACCCAGGGGCGGCCTCGCCCGGCTGGCGCTCTCCCCCCACAGGGGCTCCGCTGGGCAGTCCCTCTGCAGCCAAGCCCGCGTGCTGGCTTTGCAGCTCATTGTGCCTCAGGCCCCGCTGCCGACGGCTTTCCCGTTTTTCCCGGCTGCTCTTCTGAGAGGGAAGGGGAGACTGCCTCGCCGCCGTCGCCGCCTCCTCCGCCTGGCTGCCCTCCCCGGTTGCTCCAGATTCGGAGCCCGGCTCCACCTCGGCTCCAGGAGCCGCTGGGTCAGAGACGGGCCCTTCTGCCTGGTGGAGCCCGTTCTCTCGGCTGAGCGCTTCCTGCCTGGCCTCCTCTTGCTTTTTCTCTGCGATCATTTGATGGAACCTAGATCAAGAGTTGATGGGAAGGGGGGAAAAGGACAGCTGCTCAGTCAGAGAGAGCCCTGCAGGGCTGGACGGCAGCCAGAGGGGAACGGCTTCTGGACCCCCTCTCTCTACCCACCCACCCTGCTTCTAGACCACCCCTCTGACAAAAGGCCACTCTAGGTGGTTCAGGCCCACCGGAGCAGCGCGGCCCGGCTTTCCACACTGCCCACCTCTTGCGTTGGAGGTGCCCCCGGACCAGAGCTTGGAGGCGGCAGATCCCCTGCTTGCGCTGCCGGTACGAGGTCCGTGCCTGGAACCCGCGCCAGGCGGCCTGAAGGTCAAGGGCGGCCTTCTCCCTTTCCCTCTCCCTCCGGATGCGATAGGCGCGCCAGGCAGCCTGCCAGAGAGGAAAAAAATACCCGTGAGAAGGAGCAGCCTTTGGGGGAAGGGGGGGAGAGGATGGGGGGGAGGAGAGCCCAGCCGGGTACCTGCAAGGTCCGGGCCGCCTGGCGGGTCCGGAGAAAGCGTCGGCGCTCCAGCCCCATCCGCAGCCAGCTCTGGAGGAGGACGATCTTCCGGATGACCTCCCGGTGGAGCGTGTCCTGGAGCACCTGCCGTGCCACCTCCTTCATGAACACCTGTGGGGATGGCACAGAAAGAGGGCTGGCTGAGAAGGCTGCAGCTGGAGGGGCTCCCATACACGCACAACGAAATCATCGATCCCCCTCGCCTAACAAAGCTTATAAAAGAAAAAGGCTAGAAATAGAGATTTCTAAAGAGGAAGCTACCAGAATAGGCCACAAGAGGGAGCCAGAGAGTGGGTGGCGTGTCTGCCTTCACTTGGGAGGAACAGAGCGATCGCTATCATCCGTGGTTTCCAGCATCCGCGGGAAGCCTGGAGCCAATCCCAGCAGATACAGGGGCTTGGCTGCAGATCCGTTTTCCCATTAACAAAACAAACTATCTAGCGGCCTTTCGGAAAAGGACGTAAAACTAAGATTGAAAATTGGCCTCTTTTAAGAATTTTGCCCTTTGGAGGACGGTTCTCGGTCAGTGGGAAAAATCTGAAAAATGGACCACCTTTTGCAACAAACGCAATTCAGACTTTCCTTTTTACACAGGGATCAATCTGTGAGTTTTGACCTTTTAATTTTCTGCCCCTTCTATCGGATGAGGAGCATGAACGAGGAAAGGCACCCTGATGGAATGAGGAATGATAAGCCTAGCATTCTTTTAAGGAGAAAGAGAGGGTAAAAATGTTTTAAATAAGACAGTGTGTGTGTGTGTTTCAAATTGGGCAGTTGTTTTTAGCACTGCTTTTATTCACTGTTTTAATATGATGCCTGCTTAATTCTTCTTAAATATTTGTGTAATTGCTAATTTCAGGTTTTAAAGATTGCTTTTTTATTGTTGCAAGAGCTACCTTGTGTATCCTTTGAAGGAGGAAGGCGGGGTAAGCCTATTTTAGATCAAGAAGAGAAAATAAAAGAGAAAAGCAGAAGGGGGACCCTCTCCGCTCGGAGGAGCTTACCATCGACAGCCTGAGACACGAGGGAAGCGGCCGAGGAAGAGGAAGAGAGCCGAGGCGGGCGTTGAGAGAGGAAGGACGTGGCCTGTTTTTGAGTCCACAGGCTTTGTTGCATCGAGATTTCAAGAGCCTTCGCCACAGGAAGGGTCTCGAGGAGACAGGAAAGCCCAAGACAGAGGTGTTTGGAGGGGCTGCTCTGGGCGTGAGATGAGAAAAGGGAGGAGGAGGAGCAGAAGAAGAAGAAAAGCTGGGGCGCAGAAGAGAAGGCCGTCAGAGTCAGGGGACAAGCAGGGGACAGGCTTCGGGTGCGAGGAATACAGGCGGGTGGGGACGCGACAGAAGAGAGCCACGTCACAGAGAGAGTCCTCAGGGAAGGGCCCCCAAGTGCTTGGGGGGGGACCCTGGAGAGTCAGGAGGACAGCAGAACAGGCCAGAGGTGGGCGGTCCCGTCCCTACCCTCCCCGCCCACCCAGGGCCCCCAGAGGGACGCCCGGCAGATCGTCCATTGCTCTCCACCCCCAGGGTTGGCAGCCTCGGGCTGGGGGAAGCCCTCCTTCCGGGGTTGCGCTTAAAGAGGGAGGGGTTCTGGGCCACCAAAACCCACCTTGGTCTTCCCGATTTGGTAGCTGCTCGTGTCCACCTGCAGCCTGTGCAGCAACGCCGAGACTGTCTCCTTGGTGGCCTCGGCAGTTTTGGGCAGCAGCACCTGGAACTGGTCTACAAAATCCTGGGAAGGGGAGAGGGAGAGAGAGAGAGAATAATAATAATAATAATTAGTCAAGAAGCCTCAAAGCCCTTTGGGACCTCAGCCTGCCCTCCTGCTGAAAAACAAGACCCGTATGTTGAAGGAAAGACCCGAAGCCCTTCTTGGGAGCAACCTGCCTGGCCCGACTGAGGCTGCAAGTTGACTAAAAAGCTCCCCGGCATGTTCGGCTCCTCGGGAGTCAGCCGATGGTGATCTATTGCAAAGAGGTCAGGAAGCCGAGAGAAATCCTCTGAAGAGTGCTTTCCATCTTTCATCCAAGGGCTTAGTTTCCAGCCAGATGGCCCTCCCCTCCTGCCCCACCAGCCAGGACCCACCATCCACCCCCCCTCGGCGCCGTACCTTGAAGTTAAACTTGGCGCTGTAGCCGGACTGCCGGATCCTGACGGTCTCGAGCATCCCGGTGTACCTCAGCTGCTGCAGCACCAGCCGGTCGTCAAAGAGCAGCTCCTTCTGGAAGGGAAAAAGGAAGGAAGGAAGGAAGGAGCCAATGGGTCCCAAGGAGACCAGCGCTGAGGGGAGATCCTCAAGGCCAGAATCCGGCCCCTGTTCCCTCGATGGTCCGGCATACATCGAAATGGTTAAGTCCTAGTCTTTTAATTTTTACTGTTCCTTTGTGTGCTTGAACATACATTCTATTATTATGATTAGTTTTATTTATAGGCTGCTTTTATCCCAGCAAGGGACCCAAAGCTGCTCAACAACATTAAAATTCACACCATTAATAAAACATGCACAGCGACCTGACCCTCTCCCTTCCCCCCAGGAAGGGACATCCAACCTTTTACCTTCTCGGCATTGGAGCGAATGCAGCGGATAAAGAAGGGGTCAGCCTTCCCCAGAGTCTCCAGCAGCTTGTTGAGCGAAGCCTGGAAAAGACCAGAGACTTTGCACAGATGGGTACCCTGAGGGGGGTGGGGCGGGATAAAACATGCACAGCGACCTGACCCTCTCCCTTCCCCCCAGGAAGGGACATCCAACCTTTTACCTTCTCGGCATTGGAGCGAATGCAGCGGATAAAGAAGGGGTCAGCCTTCCCCAGAGTCTCCAGCAGCTTGTTGAGCGAAGCCTGGAAAAGACCAGAGACTTTGCACAGATGGGTACCCTGAGGGGGGTGGGGCGGGAGACTCCAGGCAGAGGAAACACCACCCCACCCCACCCCACCCCTGGAGCCAAGGCTTTTGGGGATGGCTGAACGGAAACGCCACGGCAGAGCCACCCGGCCAGAGGAAGCAATGAAAAATGAAAGAAAGAAAAGGCAGTGCGGGGGGGGGGGCTTCCCTTTCCACACTGGCTCCCTCACCTGGAACTGGGCACTAATACTGGGCGGCTTCTTCTTCTTGTGCAGGTGCAGGAGGGACTTCGTGGTGCGGTCGTGGAGCGTCATGCTCACAATCAGCTTCAGGGATTTCGAGTCCAGCAGATTCTGCGGCCAAAGGGGGGGAGGGGTTACGCAAAAAGGGTCAGCATTGACGACCAGGCACGGGCGGGCGGAGACAAAAACAATCCCAGCACACACACAAAAACCCGTTAGACTCCAGCGCGGGAAACTTGGTGTTTCGCATGCCCGCTGGTGCCGGGTCCTGTGCTTTGCAGATGCGGGCCCGGGGAGGGGCGGGATGATGGGTCATAGCCCTGGAAAAAGCATGGGCCTTCGCGCTGACTAAATCAAACATGAAAGCAACACGCCTGTACATCTCAACGCATGCACAGAAGCTCACCTTCGGGATGATCTGCTTCTGCTTCGTACCTCGGCTCTTTCTGTAGAAACACGAAAGGGTTATTGGGCAAAGCCAAGCGGGGGCGAGGGCGGCGAGGGCGTTAGTTCAGCAAAGAGAATTCCGGCAAATTATATCAAGCCAAGCCACCGAGAAGAGGGTGATGGGTCAGCAGCTCCCGACGAGCGAGGGGACCGGAGCGTGTGTGTGTGCAAGAGAGAGTGAAACATGAAACTATCCCATAGCAGCTCCAGGTTGCCACTTCCTGCAATTTCATCCATATTTTCTTCTTCGTGCTTTCGTTTTAAGCTCTAAATCTTTTACATTGGGTTTTTTTTTCCACATAAGCTTCTTTCAGCTCACAAGCGAAACAGTGACATATAAATGCTAAGAAGTTAAACAAATAACAGTGAGGGCCTGCAAGCAAGCAAGCAAAGTAACCGCAGTTCAAGGCCCCTATGATGTGTCATGTATAACACACTCCAAAGCGCCCCGCAGTCCTTCGGGCACCTCCATGTTTATAAAGGGGAAGGAAAGCACACCCTCACCAGAGCTGTTACAAACCTGGAAGGAGACCCCATGAAGAAAAGAGGACTGGTTATATCTCCAATGGTCGGTGGGGGTGGGTGGGTGTTATACAGTTGTTCTGAAGCTTTGTGGGCTTTTTAAAAAGGTTCCGTAATATTTTATGCTTATGTTTGTTGTTAATCACTTTTAAAAACGCATAAGCAAACTAAAGAGGCTCAGCAAACATTTGTTCAACAAGTGTCCATCAAAGCAAGCCTCTCCCCAACCCCTGGCTCCAACCTGCAACTCCCTACCCCAAAACTCACAGGAAACGGGAATGGAGCTGCTGGCACCGCCTGAGCAACTGGAGCAGCTTACTGGGGGCTTCGGCTTCCCAGGGCAGTCCCCCTTAATGCTCCTGACTATTACTGGCTCATGCAAGGCCCTAGCGGGTGATGGCGGAGACACGCACGAGACAGGATGAGGCAAGCCGGAAAAACCACCACCACCACCCACACACAAATAAAACAACCATGGAAGAGAACCACCAAGAATTAAAAGGAGGGTGCCCGTCATGGCCACCCCCCACCCGTGCCCCAAAGAGGACAGGCCGCGGGTCTCCCCAGGCTGATCTCCGCTTGAATTTTTTTGGGGGGGAGGGAACAGGGCAGTTCTCCAGCTTTAATGGATAGTGTTGAGGTCACGAGGCAAATCGCAAGGGAGGGGGTTCCCTAACTGACGCCCAGCCTGGATCCAGAAGGAAGGGAGCTCAGCCCACGGCGAGCCTCCCACCACTAGCCTGGGAAGAGCCCCGGGAGCAACCGGCCGTCACCTGGCACTGAGCTTGGAGCGCAGAAGTCCTGCCCCAGCATGAAGCACTCACCGTGGCCAACCTCCAGAGAGGAATAAATAAAGGAAGGGAGGGAGGGAGAAACAAAGGAAGAACTGAAGGAAGGACGGAAGGAAGGAAGAGAAATGTAAAGGCCACTCCTGGGCAGAGGGATTCTCTCTCAGTCTTCTGAGATGCACCAGTATCTTTTAGTCTGCCTCAAGTCCCCACAATTCTACTAAATATTCTGTACAGTAGGACCCCCGTATCTGTGGGGGGATCAGTTCCAAGCCCTCCCCTCCAGATACTGAAAAACGCAGATTACAGCAAACACTGTTTTAATAGCAAATGCTAGACATCCTACAGCCTCCAGCTCCCTCTAGTGGCCAGGCCTATTAATGACACCATGGAAAATATATACAGTATGGTATTTTGGGGGATTTTTCAAATGTTTTAATATCAGCGGATACCAATCCCGCGGATACAGGGGTCCTGCTGACATTTTAAAGGGCAAATAAGCATTGCACCGCCATCTCTTATGGCTGCAGCGTCTTTAGATTTGGGGTGGGGTGTCCAAGGATAAACCAACGGGGAGTGGAAACAGAAACCAGCAGCTCAGTTGTTCTTTTTCCTGCCCCCTCGGCTGAGGCTCCGGGGTCCCCCACCCGTTGCTGCTCAGAAGGCCTGCCTTGCCCAAGATGGTGGCCTCCAAAGCTCCTCCACTTACTTCTTGCTTTCGTACGACGCAATGATGTCCTCGAAAGCGCTTATATCAAAATCCTCAGAGCAATCAAAGGAGAAATCAAGCACTGAGCAGCTGCAGAGAGAGGGACATGCGGAGAGGCAAAACACGCTGGTTAATAGAGAAGCGGGCAACCGACACGGCTCTCCAGCCGGGGGAGGGGGGCCTACCCGCGCACGGATCCTTCCACGGTCCTCAGGAACAGAAGCGGAGCCAAGGCAAAGGGATGCTCTATAGAGAGGACGCCTGAAGGTCTAACGGGCACCTGTGGGAGAAATCTCGTGGCCCGAAAGGAGTGTGTGGGAAAAGGAGCCTCGGGAAGGCCAAGTGGCTCTGCTTTAGGGCCCCGAACCTTGCCTTTTTTTACTCAGAAGCAGAACGACATAGCCTTCAAGCCCCAGGGGCGGGAGAGGTTGCTCCTCCCCAAGTCCTTCCAGGAGACTGAACAGGTGTTTGTGACCCACCTGGGAACAGGTGCCCGGTGCCCCTCCTAAGGTGGGAAATCTAAGGGAATGAAAAGTGGGAGGTTTCATGCTGGGCATCTACCGTATTCCGAGCACTGGTTGGGGAGGAGGGGAAAGGCAGAGGGAGCAGATGGGGGGACCACTGAGGGCCGGAAATACAGTTTGTTTTCTTCCTGGAACGAGGAGGTGGGGGGGGCAGAGATTCCAAAGCACTGAGCTCAACTGGGACCCCCATAAAAATGGAGAAGCCAACTCCTGGCTCAGACACAGCAGGAAAGAGGCCCAGGGAGCTTCTTCCAATTCCTGCAGCTACACAGAACCCCGGCCCTCGCGGACTCCTGATTTTCCTAGGGAAGGCCCTTTGGGGCTTTTCCTCCGAGTCGCCTATCCATGCTTCGCTCTGGGGTGAGTGCAGCAAATGCAGCGAAGAAATATTGGGGCGGATGCGCAAAAAGAGGCGATAGAACCAGAAAACCGTAGAAAAGCTGCTACGGTTAAAGCAGAAAGCAAAGGAGGGAGCGATGTGAGGGATCGTCTCGCTTCTTGGGCGCGCAAGAAAAAGAGAGACGATAAAGGCAGAAAGGATGGGGGGGTCAGACAGTGTCCCTTACCGGTAAACTCTCTCTGCTGGAGGGTTGGCTTGCTGTAGCTCCCCCAAAGGGACCCTGGGTCCGTGATGGCGGATCACGCCTAATTGGCAAAAAGGAAACACATTTTCTATTAGTACCACGGACAGATCTCGGGATCCTCCTAAACGCTCCGCCATGCTCTCTCACCCGCCGTCTTCTGCGCTCGCTGGCGGCCGGCCTCGGCGAAGACCGCCATGGCGCGGATGGCGGCCCGTAGGGTGGCCCACCGGAAGACGGCCACCGGGTCCATCCCAATGAGCTCCCGCACGTAGGCGCTGTCGCTGCCCCTCAGCAAAGCCACAATGTCCGGACGCATGTAGTCCATGTTCTTCTCTCGGAAATCCTGGGAGGAAGATGGAGGGGGGGCATCAGAGGCCGGGGAGGTGTGCCCCCCCTCCCAAGCGAACATTACAGAAGAGAGGAGGCCGGGCGGGCATCGCTCGGCGCAGGGCATGAAGGCTGCGGCTTCTCCTCTCCTCTTTAACTCTGGAATTTGGGGTCTCCTAGCGGAGATTCTTGGCCGGAGGTTTGAGTCAGACACAAAGGAATGCTTCTTCACATACATCCCGTGCCACTGATTTGGGCAACTGACTAGCACACAACATGAAAATGGGAATGAGCAGGAACAGCTTTTAGAAACCAACGTGGGGGACCTTAAGGTCCTGGAGTGGAACATGCCCTCCTCAGGGTCCTCTCAGGGCCTAATCCTGTCCTCCACAACACCACGATGTACTGATTTCCCCAATTTTGCAAGTTTGCCCCTCCCCATTGTGAGAGGTACAGCTGCCTTTATGATGGCTTATCTACTGCTAATAATAGCTTTTTTCAGTGAAGACGTGCTATTTTTCCCCCCATGATTCTTTGGGGGCTACAATGCAGGACCACTCTTTGCTCTATCAGTTATGAAGTTTTTCTGGAGATTCAACTGAAATCGGGCTTCCTATGGCTTGAGCCCATTCTCAGGGGTCCTGCCCTCTGGAACGATGGAAGAACGATGGAAGACCCTCCTCTCTTGGGCAACCTTTTGACGATATGAACAGTGCTCTCCCTTTGTCCCCCTCTGGCATCTTCTGTCCAGCCACCGGAGCCTCATTTCATACCTTGATCTGGTATTTCACTTTGCCCGCAAAGTGCTGGATGATGAAGGCAGGTTCCAGGACTGGCGTCCCGATGAAGAACTTGTTGTCCTCGTGCTGCTGCTTGAACTTAGCGAGAAGCGTCTGGCTGGTGGCGTGGGGAAAGCTGTGGGGGGACAAAAGCGGGAGGTCGGGGGGAGGAACAGCCTGAACTGAGCGGGATTGAGACTCGGTAGGTTGGGCGGGAATCAGCGGCAACCTGGCTGTTAAGTTTTCCGGGCTAAGGGCGAGGGGTGGAGGGAGAGATTCAGTCGTTCTCCATCTGGACAATCCACTACACTACGACTGCTATATCCGCGGGATCACTTATCCACTGCCTGAAAATAACTAACTAAAATAGAGCTATCGTCACAAAGGCAATTTCCCTCTCTATAAAAGCAGAACCTATTTCCTGCTTTGGTTTTTAAATCTACAGCCGCTCCCAAAACCCACCCGGTCCTCTCCCTCGCATCGGCTGCCCACCCCAGCAAGCAGCCCTTACTTGCTCTCTTCGTCCAGGAGGTAGAAAAGGCCCGTGGGTTTCTTGCTGATCAAGTGGATGCAGGCCACGTTGTCGGTGTAGTCAATGTTGTGCCACGAAATCCCTTCACTCTGGTACTCTTCCTGTGAGCAAGCGAAAGGACCGAGTCAGGCAAGCAAGCCTCGCCCCACAAGCATCCAAGCTCTACAAAGGGATGCTGGACTTCTCTCTGATTCACTTATCTGCTGCTTGATAATACGAAATAATAATAATTTTAAAAACTAGCCCCAAAAACTATTTTCCTTTTTTGCATTCTTTTGTCGTCATCTGCCCCCAACGACACATCTTATCCTTCAATCTGTGGCCAAATGGCAACGAAAGCTTCCCGTTCCTTCCTGCCCCCAAATTCTCACCTGTTCCAGCTTGAAAATGTGCTGGTTGAAGTAATATTGCAGCTGCTCATTGGCGTAATTGATGCAGAACTGCTCAAAGCTGTTGGTCTTGAAGTCCTCAAAGCCGAAGATGTCAAGCACCCCAATAGACAGGCACTGAAGGATCGGGAAGAAAGGAGAGAGAGAGAGAGAATCAGGAAAGGCCCTCCTATGAGCTGGACCGCAAGCTCTTCTCAGGAGGAAGTGTCACCCTCAATGCTTGCAACGGAGGGGCCTACCGGAGGAGAGGGGGCTCCTAAGTAACAGGCCCTCCTCCCCAAAACATCGCTTTCCCCCCTTTGCAGATCATGCACCTGAAGGCCCAGAGAGAGAAAAGCATTTCATTTGCCTCGCCTGGAAACGTACCGTAACAGACTCTTCCATGTCTTTCTTGTTGAGGAGAGCGTGGTTAATCCGCAGCACGATCCAGTCGAAGAGCGCGCTGTAGAGAGACTTGGCCATGGAGTCGCGGGCTGTGACGGCCTGGAAGGGGAGAGAGAAGGGGCATTTCCGCGCACCCTGGTCTGTCTTGTAGGTGCCCCCAGCCACTGACGCAGAATCCACTCCTTCCCAGGCATCCACACGCAAGGTTCGCTCCGCCCCGGGGACTCGCTCACCTCATTGAGGCTGTAGGGCAGGATCAGCTTGTCGTTGGCCGTCACTGTTTTTCTTTTCGTCAGCACTTCCACCAAGATTTCGCGCTTCACCTGGAGAAGGAGGGGGGCAGGGAAGGAAGAGCTGAAACGACGCGCTCGTTGGAGAGGCCGGCCTCCTGACGTTGAGCCGATCTCCTGTCAGGGCAACGACTTCACAGAACTCAATCCCTCCCCGTTTTTGCCTGCCTGATCTGCGACCCGTGGGTTGAGAAACCAGCTAAAGGTTTCGGCGCAAGGCCGAAACCGTCAGAAATGCATGGTGGGGATTTCCAGGTGCAAACGGGGCGAGCTCGGAGGAGGGCCTTTTTTACCAGTGGGTGCAGCAGTTTTCAGGAACGCCCTCCCCTGGAAGCCTAGCTGCCCACCACCACCAAAAACAGTGCATGCCTTCAGGCAATGGGTGAAAACCCAGCTCATTCTGAAGACCAGGGCGAGTCTCCTCCTCCTCCTCGGCCCTTGATGCATGCTTCATTAGGGAGCCTCTCCCATGAGGGTTAGAGGTTTTACTGTTTCAATTCCAACGTTAGCTACCCTGCGCTTATAAGGAAAACAGAATCAAAAACAACAGGAGGACCTCTTTATCCACGGGATCAACATCCGCAGTCTACCTTATCCACAGTTGGCCACAACATACGAGGGCCTTTGTCCCACTCCCTTGCCTAGAGTATCCCAAGGGTTTCCTTGTATCTGCAGTTTCAGGCATTTGCCTAGAGTATCCCAAGGGTTTCCTCGTATCTGCAGTTTCAGGCATCCATGGTATATTATGGAACGGATCCCCCACGGACACAAGGGTCCTCACTGTGTGCGGGGTTTTTTGGTTTTGTTTTTAAAATGACATTGCACTCCTTTTCTCTCTTCCAGACGGAGCTACGATAAGGAAGGGAGTCCTACCTTCAGCAGCTGGGAAAGAATGTCCAGGACCTCCGGAGGGCCAACTTCCAACCCTTCATCCCGACCGGCTGCTCTTTTCTTGTAGGTGACATTTCCCAGGTAGAGAATGGCAGAGAGGACTGAAAAGATTCTGGGGGGAGGAAGACACAGCCCTGAGACCAGACGCTGAGCCTACTAGCAGAACAATCTGCTCCCCCCCTCCCGTTTTGTGCAGCGTGGCTTTCTCAGATACGGCCGTCAGACTGCGGCCCTTCCCATCCATCCATCATCCGAGATTCCAACAATACTCCCACCAGCTTTCCCGAGATCCAATTTCCCCCTGAGCAGAAATTAGCAGACGAAGGTTGGGTTTTTTATCCTGACATCATTCTGCACCTGCCCTTCTGGAATGGTGCGCCTGACACAGTCCCAGTTGTGTGGCGTTAACACAACCTTCTGTGTGTTTTTAAAGCCGACGCGGCCCAAGAGAGGAGGCGCTCTGGGCGCTCTCCGAAGGCTGGCGGGCAGGAGGCCACACCGACCTACTTACTGCTTCTTGGTCGCCGGGAGGAAACCGACCATCTCCATGGCTTGCTTTAACCGCTCAAAATCATGCTTCAGGTCTTCGCCGTCTTCAATTTTCAAGTTATGCTAAGCGAGTAAAAGAAAATAAACACGAAGAAGCAGGACAGAAGACTCCACCAAAGTCTGGCTTCTTCTACACAGATCCTTGGGCTTCTCTGTACGGGGGGGGGGAGGCTGCTTCTGATCTAGTGATTCCCCATCTTGGATCCCCAGAGGTTCTCGGACTACAACTCCCAGAAGCCTCCACCATGAGCTGTGCTGGCCAGGATTTCCTAGGAGTGATAGTCCAAGCACCCCTGCAGACCCCAAATTGTGAGCCTCTGGTCAGATGGAATCCTGCTTCTTCAGTGGGGGTGAGAAGGAGGGGGGTCTGCTCCATGGTCGCACTCACCCCGTGCCACGACCTGGAATGGACTCTGGTTTAGAGAGACTGATATAAATTACTATTGCTACTGCTAGAGTTCAGCCATTGTTTCTGTAATACTCATTACTGTTGATTAAGCCCTGGCTGTAAATGGCTGTGAAGGGGTTCAGGTCTCTGGCTGCGAAGCCAGTGGTTGGGAATTTGAATTCCCCCTCCCCCCGTGCCTCCTCAACGGGGGCTGGACTTGATGATCTAGAGGCGATGATGATGACCAAAAGGGACACACATAGGAATATACAACAATGCCTACAAAAAAAAGTGAGGTAGGAAAGCCCGAGGGGGGGTGTCTTCCCCAGGGCGTCGGGGCTGAATGCAGCTACACACTTCCCGAGATGTCTGACCCCTCGCTGCCCTTCTTGGGGCCGAGCGAGAGTCCCTGCAGAACCTTCACGGGGGAACGAAGGGGGCCCGCTCGCCTCTCCCTTCCAGAGCACCTCTGACACGACGACACCGGGCACCCGCCAGCCGACCTCACACAAGAAGGTCACCAGGATACCTGGTTGAGGTAGAAGTAGTCTTCTGGCTGCCTGAGGTGGAATTCATCACGCTCTTCCTCGCTCACACCGAGCAGCAAATAGTAGAACACGTGGTAGTTCCTGCAGAAGCCAACGTACACCCAGTCAAGGGAAGGGGGGGGCGCTTCCGCCCCCCCCCCCGCCTCCTGCTTAAGAGGAGCCTTGAGGCTGGACCAGTCCAGAGGCCTCTCCGACAGCGGCGGAGGCCAACCCGAGGGCTGCAGCGGTCCCACCCTCATTGGCAGGGATACTGAGACGTGCCTCCTGGGATCCTGCCCCCGCCCCCATAAAGCCACTATGGTTTCTGCTAAGCTTTAAAATGATGACAATCAACACCAGGTGGGTTTGCATCCTGCAAGCACCCCCACCCCCACCCTATTTAAAAATATCCATGAAGCTCAGCAGAGAAAAGCCTAGAGATACATCAGATCACTGGCAACAGCAAAGAGACACGGCTCTTCTGGGTGGGAGCAAGAAGGCTCCGGATCTCTTCCCTGTGTGTGATTTTCCAGGCTCTTTCTGTCCTAAAGTGTTTGCTGAGGGCATTTTTAAGGGCAGCCGGCTTTTAAAAGGGGTGACTTGCAGCGCCTTTAATGTCAAAGGCCTTTCTAACCTTTTACAAGCTGGGAACTTAAAACAAAGAATTGAAAAACAACCCAGGTTATCCTTATTAGTCCGCACTCAGGTTCACCTCTTCCCACTTTCCGGTCTGGGTTACTCTTGGTACCGAATTTCTCTTTTGAAAAGCAAAACCATGTGGCTCTAATCACAGGGCCAGGGTCAAGGAAGGGGGGGGAATGAAAATCACCGTCAGAGGATTTGCAACACCTCACCTTTCGTTTTTTTCCCGAGACACCAAACGAGATTTTTCAAGCAGGTATTTTTCAACCACGGCCCTGAATTCCGGAGAGGAAAAGAGAAACGAACAAGGAGGTTAAAAAGAGCAGCCACGATGAAGATCTTGCCTGCATGGTTTCCAGGGAGGCTGAAACAACCCTTCAGATCCCCATCATCATTGCAGTATTTTTATTTTATTTAATTTGCAGGCTCACAATATTTAAAAGAAGAGAGCTGAAAATATGATTAAGTGAGACATTAATGTTATCAGGGGTACAGAGAGAAGTAAGATGGCGGGAAGTCAGCTCTCCATTCAAGCCATGGCCCCCTCTGTGTGAGTCTGGCCTTCACCCTCCCACACAGAGACACTCCCCTCTCACTCCCCGCCCCCCAAAATGGAAAGCCGCATGGGGCGCACTCACCCCCTGACGATCCCATTCTCCAAATAATTGACCTGGATGAACTTCCCAAAGCGGCTGGAGTTGTTATTATGGGCGGTCTTTGCATTTCCAAAGGCCTGCAAGGAAGCAAACATGGTGTTGACCCTTTGGATGCCACGACTCACACTAGAGTAGCGCTTACAGGTTGAGACCCTTTCATCAAAGGTGCCTGAGCTTGGGTTGGGGCGGGGGGCACAGTGAACACCAAAGAAGAGAGGCTACTGTGATTTATGCCTTCACCTCTTAACTTACCTTTTCATTTATTCATTCATTCATTCATTCACTCACTCACTCACTCACTCACTCACTCACTCACTCACTCGCCTGTAACTAACATGCAAGAGCAGAGGGATACCTTGATGGAACCCCTAAGAAAACCAAATGAATGGCAAGTTTTCCCAGATAGGAAGGCTGGGACCTTCACGGAGAGGGTTTCTTAATGGTCTGTCTGTAACAAGATTCTCGGACTGCCTTTGGCCCGAGGCAGATGGGAAAGCTGGTCCCGTCATAGGAGGCAGCCAAGTGGGACCACTGGAGCTCCCCAACCCCCCCCGTCCCTTTTCCCACCCCCTCATCCTGGGCATGCACACATCCAGCTCAACAGACGGCTAGCTGTTCCCGCCCACACGGCTGAGGCAAGAGCTCCGGCTGGGTGGGCGGAGGTAGAGACCAACCCAACAAGGGTTGACTCATTTATCCTGGAGGCACAGAGGCAGCCGTGTAAGCTCCTCATGACATCATAGAGCAGAGCAAGGAAGGCCTCTGGAAAACAAAGCCCAGGCCTTCTCCAGTGCCTTATGGAGGGTCTCTTCCGTCCGCTGCACCACTGTTAGAGCAGTACGACAAGGGATTCAGATCAAGGAGAGCCCCTTCCAAGCCATCACCAGGACCTCCCACTTTCGAAGGAGAAAACCTTGCTTTCCATGCACACACAGAGAACTTGCCTGCAAACAGGCAGATTCCAATAGGTTCCCAGCTATGCAGCCGAAGGTGAGGCTCTGTGACAGCAAGAAAGCCCTATTTTTGCAGCACACCCGTGTGCTTTTAATTTGAAGGCATGTGTGGATTCAGGAAATTCTTGAATTTTGAAATGAGAAGCTTGGGTTTTTTGTTTGTTTGTTTGTTTTCAAAATCACTCCACCCGACTTCCTGCGCTTTCGCTGCTTTTCATCCCCTTCTTTATGATCCTGCATGTGAGCAGCCCTTAAGGCCGGGAAGGGTGAGGTGACCTCACGCCAATGGTATTTAGTTCAGGCAAGAAGCAAATTCTCCAAAGCTGATTAAGGAATAAAAATCTGAGCCGGGGTAATATTAGCGGCCGGACAGCTTCTGGGCCCACGAGAACTTGGCTGTTTTATACCACAGGCCCACCTCGCTACCCGAAACTAGCTGGTCATTTAAAATGAAGTCTAAACTTGGCAGAAGGAGTGTTGGGGACTGGATTCTCATTCTGAAAAGCTGTCCAAAGGCATCTTTGTTCCACTGGGAAGAGATCGCCTCCCAAAAATAAGACTGAAACAGGAGTGCAGCTTTGCGGTAGAGCTTCTTATCCGAACGCCCAGGGAGAGCAGTAAACTTTCCAGAAATTTTCATTTTTTTCCGAGGGGGGAGGTTGAAACGGGAAATTGGAAATTCCAAAAAATTGGAAATTTCCATTTCTCAGTCAATCCAGTCTAGACAATGTTAAATATATAATTTTTTTTCCTGGGGGAAAAAACTTCCCCCGTTTTCCCCCCAGAAAAATTGAAAATTTTCAGAAATTTTACATTGCTATCTATGCATAGGCCACATAGGTTCTGCCCACCCCATCAATACCAAATTAAGATATTTCTTTCTCTCTCTCTTTCTAGAAAAATACTGCACATATGGGGGAAAAAAGCAGCCTCTCCAGCTCCAGGAAAGTTATTGCAGCCACTTCAGGCAGGAGAGGAGGAACGCAGGTGAAAAATATTCAAAATACTGGAATATCACTGGCAAGTTTGAATCAGTGTTACTGAGTAAAATTTATTCCACACATTTCTTAGCTGCTACGCCAACAGTCTGCTTGCTAAGTTACAGCAAGCTATCTCTAAATAGAGATAGAGATGGAGAGGTAAACGCAATACAGTATATATATACATATGCTGCCGATCTGTGGGCAGTGAGGGCTGTGTGATCAGCTGATCCGTAAGGGGCTCTCCACAGTGAACCTCCTTCCTGTTTTGGGTTAGAAACCACAAGCATTGGCTTGAAGAGGTAAGCAGGGCTCTCGGCAGCCGAGTTCTGCTTTCCGAGGCAGGGGAGGAAGAGGAAACAGAGCGACCGAGAGACGCTGAACTATCCTGACTAAGCCAAGAGTAATTTGGAGCAAAAAATGGAAGAGGAATTAAAACGAAAGAAGGTACCGTCACAGCACTTTGCTTCCCCCCCCCCGCCGCATCACAGCGTTTGGCTATCTGAAGGGGGCCCAAATCCTGCCAGGGACACCGGCAAGCATAAAGCAAGGGACGTCATCCTTGGAGACCAACTGGCTCAAGGGAAGAAATCACAGCGAGTCACCTGATAGGGGCCCTGCTCAAGAGAAGGACTAATATGGGGGTTTCAAATTCGTGGCACCTCCCCTCCCAAAGCCACTCCCTCCGCCTTCATGGCAGGATGAAATCTCAACAGGATTTTGGCCCGCACATCTCAAACATAAGCAGGAACACGCATGATAGTCTGGCATCCAATCAACCCAAAAGCAAGTGGGGGGGGGAAGTGCAACACCAGGAACAAGGGTGCAATCTTTTGAGAGCCCGTTCTGTTTACTAGGTAGATGTAAACAAAGGAAGCAGGAGGGGGGAAAAGGAAAGAGGGAGGACAGCTCTTCCCTCCTTGCTGTTCTCGTGTGGTTACAGGAAGCCATGGCGACAAGAGTAGAGGGGTCGGGGGTCTCGGTGTCCCCAGCTCTGAGCCAGTCTTTGGGTCACAATGGGAGACAGCCAACCGATGAATGGCTTTTGGGTCTAAGCTCTCTCAAAGACCGGATCTCCCGCTACGAGCCGCCTCGGGCCTTCAGATCACCGGGGGGGGGGGGACCCCTTTCTCTCCCCCCCAGGGGCCCTTCGGGGGGGACTCAAGAAAGGGCCTTTTCTTGGTGGCGGCCCCCAGAGACAGTGGAACTCCCTCCCACTGGAAACCAGGCTGGGCCCCTTCTTGGCTCTCCTCTCGCAAGCAGGCCAAGACCTTCCTCATCCGGGAAGTTTTCCCATCGTCACTGGTGGTCTGAGAGGGTTTTTAAAATAGATGGGCACATTTTGTCATTTTGAACTTGTATTTGGTGCAGCTTACGTTTACCATTTTTAATGTGCTACTTGTTTGATTTTGATTTTTTTTTTTTTGCATTTGCGTACTTGCAGTTTTCTGCTTCCAATATAATCTTTTAAAAGTGTAAACCACCCTTGGGTCCCTTTTAAAGAGGAAAGGCGGAGTAAAAATGTTTTAAATAAATACATGCATACATAAGAGTGCCCCTAAAGGGGGGAAAGGCTGCTCGGCTGGAGTGGCAATCGCCGTTCATTTCAGCCTCACTGTGCACTGGAGCATTCTGGGTCTGGGGAGATCACCGCTTGGTTTCCAATATATCAGTACAGTAGTTTTAAATCCCTAATCAAGGGTGTAAAGGGGTTTCAATCCAGCCTGAGGGCTCCTGTTACAGGGCCGCCTCGGGCTCCTTTTGAGAAGAAAGGCAGGATAGGATAAAAATATTTAAAATCAATCAAGGCTTGGTTCTGCCCTGGCCGCCAGGAGCAAAATGTAGGTTTGCAAGGACGACCCGGGAGAGCCACGGAAGCTCTTTGTCTGGTCTGTGGCCAGCCTGTTTGAGGAACTCAGTTGGTGCTTGCTGGAAATCAAGGCACAGAACCAACCAGGAAGAGACCCAAAGCATATTAAGTGGAGTACAGCATAGCACGGGGGGGGGGCGGGGAGAGAGAAGGCTTCACCCATGCGGACTTTCGTTGCCTGCTTTCTGATCCTGGGGAACTAAGCCGTGGGGTCTCGTTTTGGACCGGGGGCTCAAAAGGCGGCTGATGGCCAACACTCCCCCCTGCCCCTCCCCCATTTCTTTATCTTTGGCTGTGAGAGACAGCATGAGAAAATAGAACTAAAAAGATTTAGAAAAGAGAGAGAGAGAGAAGCTGTTTCAGAGAAGGTCAAGAGTGTCTCCCACAGAAAACAAAGTTGGAGGGAGGGAGGGAGGAAAAGGCGCCCTTTCATCGCTTTCCTTCCACAGGACAATCCAGGACCACAACGCAGCATGGAACTTTAACCTCACACCAGATAGGTTTCTAACTCCCCTGAAGAAAAGGGGGGACATTGTGCAAGAGGACACGCCTGGGTATAAATCTATTTGGATTGTTTTTGGGGGGAACCACACACACTTTTCCTGGTTCCACCCGCCCACCCACTCCCACTTCTCCAGATAGGTGTGCATGTTATATTCTCTATTTCTCTATTTACCTCCAGCACGGGCCCGGCTCCCAAAATAGTCCTCTCCACCCCGCTGGCGTACCCCTTTTGGCTCAGGGCGGTGAGGCAGTGGATGAGGAAGTTGGTGCTCTGCGTCTTGCCCGAGCCGCTCTCCCCCGAGATGACGATGCACTGGTTGAGGCGCTTCTTCAGCATCGTGTGGTAGGCCACGTCGGCGATGGCGAAGATGTGCGGCTCCAGGGTGCCCAGCTGGTGGTTCTCATACATCTGGACGTACTTGGGGTTGTAGATGGGCAGGAACCGGAAAGGGTTGAGGGCAACAAGGATGCTGCCCACGTAGGTGTAGATCTTCTGCTTCAAGAAGCGCCGGCGGAGGTTCTCCAGCAGGGTGGTCTCCGTCAGGTTGGGGAGGTTGCACAGGTCGCTGAAGTCCTCCTGCTGCCAGGGCAGGAAGCCCCTCTCCACCAGCCGCCGGGCCTCCTCCTCCTCCTGCTGCTCCTCCGAGGCCGGCGGCGGCGGCAGGTACCGGATGGTCCCGTCGGCGTTCCGCTCCTGTAGGAGGAAGTAGTACCCCTCCTGCCGCGGGTGCTCATCCTGGGCCCGGCGGGGCCACAGCAGGACCCGGTGAACGGGGGCATCGTTCCCATCGAGGACCCACTCCTCTCCTCCCGACTCCTTCACCTCCACCAGCACGTAGTGCTTAGAGCCGTCCAAGCCCAGGGAGCTGACCGCGTCTTTGATGACCTCGGTGGCCGGGGCATCCTTTGCCGCTGCCACCCGGCAGCAGGTGACGCTGTCCACTGAGAGCTGGGGGTAAATATGAAGTGCGTAGGCTGCCCTCTCCGGGGAAGCTGGACTGCCAGCATCTTGTACACTCATCCTGGCACATGCCCGGCCTCCGCATGCCGCCCTGGCTCGGAGCCCCAGGCCGGGGGTCTGCAAGGAAGGAAAGGAGGAGAGAGTCAGAGGCTTCTCCCACAGAAAAAAGAGCTGGGGTGGCAGAGAGGAAGACCTTTCTGGAGCTTTGACCCCTTCAAGGTGCAAAGATTCCACCTTGATTCCACCCCTCCCCTGCCAGCCGACCAAAAGTTTAGGGAACTGACTGCCACGGGATGTGGCCATGAGCAGAGGTATCGAGAGGAGCTGCTGTTGGTGGAGGAGGAGAAGTGGCCCATTTCGTGGTGAGAGTGAAATGGGAGGTTCTGAAAGGCAGCACCTGATGAACCCGTCTGGCCCACAGCTGGAAACAGACAGGATGCTTGATGGGATCCAGCTGAGCATTTTACAGATCACAGCACCCGTAACACAACTCACACGTAGTTCTAATCATGGCCACCTCAGAAGCCGCTCAGAAAAGCAGAGGGAACCACTCTGTCGGTTGCACCACATCCTCGTTGTCTTAACTCAGGAGAGGCAAAAACCCCAAGGCTGTTTTCCCATCACCCTCCGATCTGCCTTTGGCCCCTTCGGCTGCCAAAAAAGGTGAACAGCTACCAGGAAAGCCATTTTCAGCAGGCCCCGTTTTAAAACCCAAACTCCTGTGGGCTTCGTTCTGTTTTTGAGGGCTGGGGTGAATGGGTTTTGTGTTTTCTTCTTCTTCTTTTTTTCCAGTCACTGGGGTCCCTGGAAGACCCTGCAAAGCCCAGGCCACCAGCCCTTGTTTTAACTGCATGACGCCACTCACTCACCCTCCAGCTCTGAGTTGCCGGAAATGCTAGTCGCTCCAGTTAGCGATCGCTCTGCCTTTGGAGGGAAGCTGGTCTGCCCTTACTCATCCTCTGAGTCAGCCGCGAGGCTTTCTACGACAAAGGTCGAAAGCCGGGGCGCTGAAGGACCCGGGAGCCTCCTTCCCAGGCGCTGTCGCTAAACCTCCGACAGCATCGTCATCCCCGCTATTGAGTGTCATTCCGGTCAACAAAACTGAACAGTCACAACCGGGGCTCGGCTCGAAAACTCTCCTTGGCTTATCAGCAAGCGGTTCTTCTGGACATAAAAGGATGTTCCTGCCTCCCCCCCCAAAAAAGGAAACAGAGCAGCTGATAACCCCAGGGCTAAGCCCCAGGATCTAACAACCAACAGCTTACTTCAAAAGATGTACTTTGAAAACACACACAAACACACTAAAGCAGGAAAACAGCAAGTCATATCAAAGTGAAAATGTGGACTTGTAGGGAGAGAGAAAGGGAGGAAAACAAGACTTAGACCATCATTATTTCTGCCAACTTGTCACTAAGCAGGCAAGCTCAGCAGGAAGCCATGCTGGCTTATCAGGAAACAAACAAACAAACAAAAAGACCAAACAATAAATAAATAGGGTAATTTCTTCCCTTTACTCTAAATCGAGTGGGGAAAAGTCACAAGAGGGATAAAGTTGTGCACACAAAAGCATTTGACACCTCGTGAGGCTTGCTTTGAGCCTAAGAAAAGGATCACCTCACCCATGGTAATATTATCCCTTATTCAGCCCAACAAGCCCATTTTGATTATTTGAACAGCAGCACGTTCTGCTGAAAGCCAGAAATCAGTTTCCAATCAGCTGGGAACGGCTTCATGATGTGAAACAAGTGGCGAGTGGGCCTCACTGTGCGACCACAGGTGCTTGGGAAGCATTACTTTTGTGGAAGTCCCAGATCTACACACCGCCTGGGGCTTTTGGAGTACAATAAGGACCCCCGTATCTGCAGGATCGGTATTCACAGTTTCACTTATCCATGGTCTGAAAATATTAAAAGAAAAACTAGAAATAACCTACCCGGCCAGGGAGCCAGTTGTGGTAATATATGGTGAAAATACTTTTTTTTCTGACTGTTTTTCTTTTACCGCGCTATGTATAGTGTTTGCTATTATCCGCTGTTTTCAGCATCTGCAGGAGAGAGAGCTTGGAACCAATCCCCACAGATATGGGGTGGTTTTTTTTTAAATTGCAATCTGACACATCAATGGGTCATGCTTCCCTTCGTGAGAGATGATGGGGGAGAATGTCAGAGGTAAAAGGAAAGTAAGGTCCTAGATGGACGGCAAAGTCTTTTTAAAAGACTGTGTTCTGCATAGGCAAACGTTGATGTCAAGAATTCTAAGGGCCACAAAGGACCCGGTAGAATGGAAGACATTCTCATAAAAGTATTCTGAAGAAAGGGAGGGGGAAAGGGTTCTCCTCTGTTTCATGTGTGTGGGGGGGAGCCATTTCTGGTCTGGCTACCAAATAATCCGGCTACCGAAACCATAAAGAGAAGGGCAGGAACGTGTTTAGACGTGCATCTCTTAAAGAGACTAGAAATTGTGAGCCCCCAGCAGGATCCTGCCTCAAGAGAAGAGATACGGGATGACGTCAAGTGGGAATTTCTGCCTCACAGAAGACTGACCACCCGGCAGCCTTCCTGGGCTGCAACTCGAGAGGGAGAGCGAAACAGGCAAGCTGAGCGCTTTCTGGCTTTGGGGTGTGTGCGATCTCTGGGTGTGTCTTACAAGAAATTAAGAATTAAGTCCGTTCTCTGCAGGCAAGCCTGTTCCAAATATGGGGCCCGATCGGTTTGAAAGGCACCAAACCCCCAAGTCCTCCTTCTTCTAGGGAATCGCCAATGACTCCCCCGTGCAGCCAACCCAGGCTATGGCCTTGGGGGAAAACGGTGGGCTCCCCTTGCTTTGGCCAACTTCAACAACAGAGGGATGTGGCGTTTGAGGCCAGTGAGGGCGCGAGGGGAGCAACCAGCCCTTGAGCCGAAGGAGGGTGGAGAAAAGAGCTCCCATTTCAGCCACCGACCTTTAAAGGCAGAAGCTTCTGATTTAGAAAGCCATTTGTGCAGGGCAGGGGGGGGGGCTTCTTTACAGACTCCTTCCTTTCTGGAGAGGCCAAGTTCATTTCAATGAAGCCTAAACAAAACAGCAACGGATTCTGGCCGCTGGGCAGCTCAGCCCACCTTCTTCTTAACTCTTCACGTCCTGCAGAGAATTCAGACACACTGTCTAACCACTAAAACTGTGGAACTGCTGGAAAACAGGGCCGAGCATCTTTTCTCCCCCCCCCGCCCCCTGCACAATCCACCCAAAGCAGTGGTTTAGTCTCCACAAACCTATAATTTTAAAGTTGCATGTTTAACCAGTGAATCACGTCAGAGCTAAAAAAGGGAACGCTACCATCACAACCAAGTTGCAGGGCTGGGTGTGTTGTGTGGAGAGACTGTGTGTGTGTGCGCGCACACACACATACACTCTTCTCTCTTTCCGCATCATCATAGTGATTTGAAGATTCCTCTGGGCCTCTCCATCTCCTGCTAAAGATAAGAGTGGTCCAAGAAAATCAAGAAAAGCTGGGCCGAGATCCCAAATAACTGCCCAAAGTGAAACATTGGAGGTGGGGGGGGAGGGGAGAGATTTCCCCCCCCCCTCACAGCCATGGAAAACAGAAGATGCTGCCTTAACCTCTCTAAGAACTGCTGGAGAACTCACGGATTGAGGGTCTCTCTGACTGCTGAGCCAGAGGTGGGGAGTTCGAATCCCAAACTGGGCCTCCTTAACAGCGGCTGGACTGGATGATCCTTAGTGGTCCCTTCCCGCTCTGCTATTCTAAGGTGGTGGTGGTGGCGGCTAAACTGGCCCAGATCTTTAGACCTCCTAGCTCTGCATTGTCCATCAAACTAAGTGACAGAACGTGGTTCTTCAGGGTTTTAAACAGGGGGTCTCCCCCAATCCTCTCTTAAGATAGCAGGGGTAGAACACAGTACCCTTCTGCAGGCCATGGAAGGACTCCAGCACTCCGCTGCCAGTCCCGCCCGCCCCCCATATTAGACTATGCCTGTGCCAAAGCACGAGCAAATAGCCAAGACTGCAAAAAGAAAGGCTGCACACACCTTATCTCAGCCGAGGTGGAAGAGTCTTTTCTTTTTCATGGACTCCAAATGAGTCGAAAGAGAGAAAGCTGGCAGAGTGAAACAGCCTGGAAGCCCCCCACCCGCGCAGTTTCGGAGCTCCGTTCAACTCTAAACTCCCAAAGATGACTAAAGCAACTTCAAAGCACACACACACAGAGTGTTTCATACAAACAAAATATGGAAAAACCACTGGAAGTGAAAATCATGCCTTGCAAGCAAGAAGTCCCAGATTTAACCCTGGATTTCCTATGCCATTCCTGAGAAAAAACGGAGAGTGTGTCTCACAATGAGGGAGTCTCGGCGATTCAAACTCGGGCTCCTCTAGCGAAAAAAGAAATCTCAGATAACACCTGCTAGAAAGGGCCCTTGAGAAGAAGTGCCGTTTCTGTCTCCTTCACTAACCTGGGTGGGTGCTTCGTTTTCGATGTGGTTATTTTGATCGCCTTCTTTGTATGTGGAATGGAAAAGCGGGACAGAAAAGAGAAGTTTACATGTAAAACAGGGCTGTGTAGGAAGGTGGTCACGAGATACTCAGTAATCTGATGCTTAATGGATGGCATGTGGTCCTGTGGCCTTCCACCAATATGCCCGAGGGCTTGAGAACTTAATATAAACCAAACTTTTTTTAAAAAATAGACATTTGATTTATCTCTGGCGCAAATTATACATAACAGCACGGAACACCCACACTTTGCTCAGGACCTCCGGTCGAGGCCTAAGCTATTTAAGGAGTTTCTCTGGAAAGCATGCTGATTTTGTCTGTAACCAGCCTTGTGTTACCAGCCAGGATAATGACCATAGCTCGCCTAAAACCACGAGTCCACGCTCCATTTCACTATTACAGAGGCCTGTGACAGCATGAATGAGACCAACATTGAGAAGTGGAAGTCAAAGAGAAAGGAAGAGGAGCTTTAACGACACCCAAACAAGGAGGATTTGCTAATCCTTGAACAAACTCTGGACTGTCAATCCCGAGAGTGAGAGAATGCGGTAAGGTACAAAAATGTGCAAAACAGCTTACATTTAAAATCCAGGGCGCTGCATCGCCACGGATGCTTGCCTAGACAGCTGATCTCTCTGAACGCAGGCATGCATGCCTGGATGCAAACTGTCCCTTGCAAGAGCTCGGCTTTCTAAAGGCCTCACCACAGCTTCCATCTTTTGTCAGAACTAAACTAAAACAGGTAGGGTTGTTTCTTCTTTCTGCAGCCCATCCGCTGTTCTGGACCGTGACCCATATTCCAAATTCTGCAAGCAAAAACTCTTCCCCACCCTTTCCACGTATTAAGGGAAACCACAGTACCTTCCAGTTTATCACCCAAAGAGGAAATGTTCCCAACAGACTCGTGGAGACCTCAGCCCTGGCACACAGCCCACGCTGAAGGCGATCTGCTCTGAAAGGGATTTGGCTAGGAGGCTGGGTTTTCCCCCTCTAGAACACTATTTCCCCACCACCACCATCACCCCTGCTAAGATCAAGCCTTCGGCTAGGAGGCTGGGTTTTTCCCCCCTAGAACACTATTTCCCCACCATCACCCCTGCTAAGATCAAGCCTTGATTATGTCTTGCTCACACAGTTAAGAACAGAGATCATCTCTTCAAACCTGAATACATAAATATCCAAAATTAGGTTTTAAGGGATAACAGTGTTTGACATCTCCTCTTCCCACCCATCCGTGTAATATGCAAAAAAGAGAGTTAAAAAAAACAGGTAATGAGGGATTATAATGATAGAAGTCAAACCTCTTATTCATACGTCTGGTTATTCAGATCGCCTCACCCATGAATCACTGTTTTATCAGAAAATTCAGCCTGCTTAAAGTTTCAGTCACCAGATACGTGAGTCTCTTTTTTCCAAAGACACATTTTTTCACCAGGCAGCGTTTAACCCTGTTTTAAATTATTCAAGCAAGACAAGTATTTAAGGTTCGGTGGCACGACTGGCGAATAAAACGGACTGGGGTTTTGCAACCCTATCACACATGGCCCCAGATGCCCAGCCTCACACAGATGTTGGTTCGGGGAGCTGGCTGTACGGACAGAGAAAAAGTACTGAGTCAACCCTTGGAAGGAAAAGGAGATAGAGCGCTCTTTGTTTAG